AACAAACTATACAGAAAATAAATGAAAGTAAAAGTTGGTTCTTTGAAAAGATAAACAAAATTGATACACCTCTAGTGAATCTTATTAAGAAGAAAGAGAAAGGAACCAGAAATCTGCAATGAATCAGGCAATATAACAACAGACATAGTAGAAATACAAATCATCATTAGAAGATACTATGAACAACTATATGCCAAGAAACAAGAAAACCTGGATGAGATGGACAAATTCCTGAACACATATCATCTACCAAGATCGAGCCAGGAAGATGTAGAAAGTCTGAATAGGCCCATAACAAGCCAGGAGATTGAATCAGTAATAAATAATCTCCCAACAAAGAAAAGTCCTGGTCCTGATGGCTTCACCTCTAAATTCTACAAAACTTTTAAAGCAGAGTTAAGCCCCATTCTGCTCAAGTTATTTCTAAAGACCAAAAGGGTGAATCTCTCCCCAATTCATTCTATGAAGCCTCCATCACCCTTATCCTTAAAACAGATAAAGACAGGACAAGGAAGGAAAACTATAGACCAATATCTCTGATGAATATAGATGCAAAGATTCTAGACAAGATACTAGCAAATGATATCCAACCACTTATAAAAATTATTATACATCATGACTGGGTAGGCTTTATTCCAGGAATACAAAGTTGGTTCAACATATGCAAAACCATAAGTGTAATACACCATATTAATAGAAAGAAAGATAAAAACCATATGATTATATCAATGATGCAGAAAAAACATTTAATAAGATACAACATCCCTTCATGATCAAGACTCCCAGCAATATCGGCATAGAAGGGTCATTTCTCAATACAATAAAATCTATCTATGAAAAACCTACAGTGAACATCATCCTGAATGGAGAAAAGCTGAAAGCTTTTCGATTAAAAACTGGTACAAGACAAGGACTGTTTTGTACTTCCCACACAACTACTTTTTACCAGCTGCTTGTAATAACTTAACTCAAAAACAGAAATGGAATACAATGATGTAGGATGTCAGTGTAGGAAAGTGGAGGACAGCCACATGGGCCATTCTCAAGGCCATGCATAAAGAGTCACCCACCCAACTACAGTCATGGCTACCCTTCCATTAATAGTTCCACACCTCTGTGAAGTTTCTCAGTTCTTTACTTTTACTCCCTCAAAATACATGGATTACTTCAAAAAACACAGTCCTCTACAGATAGGTCAAATCATTGTCAGATAGTGGATGAACAGATGTGTCTAGGACAATGAAGGTGTTTTCTCAAAGGTAACTTGCAGATGAAGTAATCCTTAAGTGGATTTGAGACTAATGCAAATTCATCTCAAAGACTAAATGTTCCTTTGTTAAAGGGAAATAAATTATTTTAGTACCTAAAATAATTAGTTACATAACTTCCTAAATGGCTTCTGTAGGATTACTCAAGGTCCATATAGACTCATTTACATGTATTTATATGGGCTTAACAAATACAATATCTAATTCATTTTCTTTCTTTCTTTCTTTCTTTCTTTCTTTCTTTCTTTTTCTTTCTTTCTTTCTCTTTCTTTTTTCCCCCTGTTCTCTATCCTTCTTATGTTGTAGCAACATGGTATTAACTAGTGAATACACATTTGAGATTAGCTTGTTATGAAGACCAAATGAAATATTTTCATCTGTGTGGGATTCATATGAAAGAAGACTGCAACACAGAGCTGATAGGAACAGTTACAAAAGAGATGACAACTTGAGGTTTTTAACTGGTCTCCTCTGAAAGTGGCCCCTCAGTTCTTGGTCATCCCTAGCTTCTGATGAGAGACAAGGCTCATGCTGGGAATTTAACATTCTGTAGAAAATTAAGATGGGATTTCTACAGAATATGTGGCCGATATTTAATCCCATGATATAATACACTGCCAAAGAATCCATAGCCAGTGGTCTCTGCTCAGTATTCATGGGTCATTTCATTGTGTCTAATTAGAGGCCTAAGTTTTTATGCTGATTTTGTTCACTTTTCTCACAATGGTATGTTTTTACTCATGAGGGGGATGGGATAACTGAGAATGGAAAGGTCTTTGATAACTTTGACACTTTTCAGTAAAGACAATGAGCAAAGAAGAAAAGAATGGCCACATAGGTTCTGCTTGTTTCTAACATTATGCTGCTTCCAATTATGGCATAGATAAATATTTTGTTTCTTCCTGACATAACCACAACCCTTATCCTAAACCCTTGGGGCCTGATGTACTTTAAAATATGTATATATTTTTTCAGATTTTAGAAAGGTAATAAAATGTATGCTTTGTATTCTGTATATTTTGCAATATCCCTGGCATGATCTGGTTAGTGATCTTGTAATAAAGTACACTATTTTAGTAACAAAAGATAAATATTCACATTAAGTAAGATAAGTAAATACGGTAAAGACTCAAGTCTATTTAGATTGGGTTTTGCTGCCAAATAAATTGTGCTAAATTAAGGAAATACTTCTGTTTTTAAGAGATTTTTATATTTGAAATTACAAACAAGGAATTATAAATTTATATTGAAGTCCAGCAGGTGACATGGTGGTTAAGGCACTGGACTCCCACATGGCTGACCACAGTTCAAGTCCTGAACCTGGTGGCTTGCTTTCTTGCTGTCTCTCTCTCTCCTCTCTCTGTCTCTTTTTGATGATCACACATGCCCTAGCAAACTTTAATAATAATAATAATAATAATAATAAAACAATTTTTATATTGGTATTTCTGCAAAACATTTGAAAATCTATTTATATTTTGAAATCTTACCAACTTAATTGAGAAATTCATCCCTTACATTACTGGCCAAAATCAAACTCTTTTCATTCATGCTTACATTTAAATCATTGTACGTATTGATTTGGTCAATGTATTTCTGGTGACTTAATGATTTATTCTTTTTTTGTTATGGTAAGTTTTTTAAGGCTCAATTTCCTTTTTTAGAAAATTTCTCTTGGCATCGTGCCTGGCACTTAGTGCTTGCATCAGTCAGCAAGCTTTCTTTGACTACAAGCAAGAAGAACTGATTCTGACTTAAACAAAAGGAAATTCATGGGAGTACATGGAATTAAAAGAACAGCTGAAAAACCATGCTCGGAAATAGTGTGGATAAGAAAAGCTTTTGGATTAAGGTTAAGGATATTTTATCAGGACTTCTCACCTCTATCCTTTACAATTCTGAGACATTCTGCTTAAGCGAAGTCTCAGAAGAGTCTGAGGGGCAGAGTGTGGCTCATGGTCCACCAGTTGGCAGACACATTGACTGACAATCCCATCAAATGTGAATGAAGGGAGTAGGTAGGGGGGTACATTTTTCCACAGGACACAGGGTGATCGCTATCACAAGAAGAATGCAAATACAATCTGCTGGAAAAATAAGACAAACCTAATGGAAATCTTCTATACATTTCAAAATATTTTAAGAATATTCTTCTTATTCTTTCTTTCTTTCTTTCTTTCTTTTTCTTTCATTTTTTTGAGAGATATTTGTTATAGGGCACATGTTCTCACCAGAGAGAGACAGAAAGTGAGAAATCAACCCTTCTGGGCATGGGGAGAGGGAATGGCCATGCCACAATCCCTTCTCCTTCATTCGCCTCTCAGGACATTGGGGATGAGTTTGTGCTTCTGGCATGAGTTTTAAGCTGCCAGGTCTGGTACTCAAACCATGGTCGACTATGTAGGAGTCCAGAGATATAACCAATATGCAATATACTGGTACCCCAGAATATTATTCTTAATTCTTGACTCCTTAAGGAAATACAAAGTTCCATTTTTTAGACTATTCTCATACAAAACTTACGTTACCCACACGTATAACTTAATTGCTTACCTCTAAATTTTTCTCAACAATCCATATTGTTCTTTTTAAAAGTATTTATTTCTTCTTAGAGAGAGAGATGTACCCCCAACAGGGTCTTCATACTGTGATGGACCCCTACTCTTGGTTGGCCTTGATCGTGGGTGTGTTTGAGAGGTCCTGGGATGTGAACCCAGGACTTTTCCTATCTGGGTCCAGTTGTGTTACCACTGTGCCACCAAGTATCCCCACTTCATATCATTCTTGGACACTAAAGCTAGAGATGTCTACTCTTAGATTTTGTCTTTCACAATTAAGTTATTTTCGAAGTTATCTTTTTAATTAATTAAATTAATTTTATTGCCAGAGGGTATTTGCACTCACCAGAGAGGAACAAGCAGAGAGATGGAGAGGGAGTGGGAGAAGGTACCCTCCCAATGGGAAGTGGTTATGCTCCAATGCCTTTTCCTCATTCTCCATCCTGTCAGGATTTGGGCAATGTATACCAATGCATCTTGTGTGCCTTTTTATCTGCCAGGGCTGCTTTAGACTGCCAGGGATCTAGTTCCCTTAACCACTAGCCTACAGGGCCAGCATGAAAGTCATCTCTTTTTTTTAAGAGACAGAGAGTTTTGCCATAGGGTGTGTGTGCTTGCTAGAGAGACAGAGCCATAGAGAAAGAAAGTGAGAAACCACCCCCTAGAGAGGATGGCCATGCCACAATCCTTTCTCCTCCAATCTCTTCTCTGGATTTTGGGCATGCACGCACACATGCAGGGTGTGATTTTCAAGCTGCTAGGTCTGGACTTTAATTGCAGTAAGCAATTATTAAATGCAGTAACCACGATACCACCTGCGGGTCCTATGAAAGTCATCTTTTAACAAAGAGTATCTCTTATCGAGGCAACCCTGAGAGACGGAAGCTTCATGGAAGAAACCACCTCATTAATAAGCATTGCAAATGCTTCATCTGAAATCCACATAGGAAAAACAAGCATATATCACATGGATCAAGAACCAAGGAAATGAAAAACGCAAATGAATATGGTCTTTCATCCCTCATTTACTGCTTACAATTTTTTAAAGGATATTATCACCCTCTTTAAGCCCCACATTTCTTTAAGTGGCTTTTCAGATTGCAGCCATTTTTACAGGCAGGTGCTGATGGGTGCACACGATCAGCTTGAATTATTGATAATACACATTTCTTACCTGGTACTCATACTCTGTGAAAGGCAATAGTTCGGAATCCATAAAAGAGCTGGAGCTCCCATTATAGGTTAGCACTGGATTGGATTTTCCAGGCTGAGATGTTGTTTGTCTTCTGTACAATTCATAATATAAAACTTTTCCATTTGGCTGAAGTGGCCCTGTCCACAGAAGGGAAACGGTGGGCTGGAATCCTCCTGGAGCCATCCGGACCTCCAGATGGGGAGGTGGTTGCATCAGAGGTGCGATCTCAGGGGTCAGTATGGATGTCCAGTCACTTGATGCACACCCCAGAGGGGTACAGGCTTGAATTCGTACCTCGTAACTTCAGGACACAAGGCAGAAATGACCAATGATTAGCAAAATAGGCTTTCATGAGGAGACTCTTCAAAAGCCCAGTATTTTAGGGAAAAGTGACAAATACCTTTACATTTGGTCTTATCTAGACCTAACTCTTAAAATTAACAGCTGGGACCAACAGGTGGCATGGTAGTTGGGGTGCTAGACTCTTACATGGCTGACAGTGATTCAAGTCCAGGACGTACGTGGTGGCTTAAAACTCACATTGGATACATGTACATGTGTGGCCAAAAAAATCCTGAGAGGAGAATGGAGAAGAAGGGATTACAGCATGGCCATCCCCTGTGGAGCAATTTCTTACTTTTATTTTGTCTCTCTCTCTCTCTATCTCTCCTGCAAGTGCATGTGCCCTAGAGCAAAAATCTCTCTTAAAAAAAAATAACAAAAGCTACAAACACATGAAAATTTTAGAGTATTTTAAGACCTCCTGGCTTTTCAAAATAAAGATCCTGGGGGACCAGCAGGTGGTGTGGTGTTTAAGTAAGGTGCTAGACATTCCCACATGGCTGACCATGGTTCAAGTCCTGGACCTGGTGGCTTGCTTTCTTACTTTCTCTCTCTCTCTGTTTCTCTCTGGTCAAAATAAAATAAGTAAATGAATAAATAAAATTAAAAATAAATAATTCTTAAAAAAACCCAAAAAAACAAAATAAAGATCTTCAATTGTCTGGAAGGGGTGGGCATGATTCTTTCCCTGAAAAGGAATATGTGGAATAAATAAACTCTCGTGATTCTTTTTAGCATGAAAATTCAGTTCTCCACAGTATTACTTAACAAAGCCATGAAGAGAGCAGCCTCTGGGGAGTCTGAAGCAGGTGTCAGCAGCCTCAGACTCCTCCTATCACTGCAGCTGGTGCTAAGTGATTCCCCCAGAATGTCTCCAGGTCATGAAGGAACATCATGGAGTAAGGTCTCGGTGGTCATAAATCCCGTCACCTGGTACCTGACATCTTAAAACAGGCTCTCTTACACCACACAAAGACCTTGCTGGGCCAAAGTCAGCCCAGCTCCACACTAGATTATCAATCATGGGGACACCTTATCACCATCCAGTTTAACTCGACTAATCAATTACGTTGTGCCTCATAGCTGGTCTCTGTACTGAAAAAGGTCTATTTACATAGGGACTATACCCTTTCAACCAAAGGGATTTTTGTTAGTATTAAGTGCCTATGGCTGCAAATAAGCACTTTTTTCTCTGTGCCCATGCCCCATTGATTTTATGACACTCCTCATTTCCCTTAAAGCACCCAGCTACCTTTCTTTCTCCCTTGATTTCTTTTGATTCCAGCACTTCCACTGTTAGTTTTCTACCTCCCCTTTTTGTTCCCCTAATTGCTGCTTTCCTTTCTCTTACCTGTTTTCTTTCTCTTTGACCTTTTTGTCTCCCCCTTCCCCCAATAGGATGCATGCACTTGCTGAAGAGAGAGACAGAGAGAGACACTGAGA